ACTAGGACGAAACAGCTGGCTATCCAGTACTCTCTGATGGTTTTCCAATGGTTCCCTAACTGATATCAACTCGTGATCAATCCTGTAGTCACATTTCTCTCACACCACTGAATATATAACTCTCCCTCCCCACCTTTGTTAAAATTTATCTTTTCCTAATTATAACTACATTAGTATTCACATTTCATCGCATTTTCTGAATGACTATACGTTTTATATACATTCAACTAACAATGCTGACTAACGGACTAGTATCACATCCTACACATGTTATTATTATTATTATTCTCAACGATACGTGTCAACGGTTTTAGGAAGAAAGAAGAGACAAGACAAGGAATGGCTCCCAATGGACACTTGGAAGCTAATAGAAGAGAGAAGAATGATGAAAGAGAAAATGATTCAATGCAAGAACGGACAGGAGAAGGAGACGCTGAGCTCAACTTACACAGCATTGGACAAAGAAGTGAAGAAGAGTGCTAGAAAGGACAAAAGACGATTCTACGACAACCTGGCCACTGAAGCTGAGAAGGCAGCAGGCAAAAAGGACCTGAGGACACCATATCAGATAACCAAATCTCTATCCGAGAAGAGATCAACACAGGTGAAACCTATAAAAGACAACCAAGGAAACCCAATTACCAAGGAAGAAAAACAGATTAAACAATGGGCGGAGCACTTCAAAGGACTCTTGAACCGACCACCACCTGCAACACGTCCAGAAATACCAACAACAGCGCGCACACAACTGCAAGTTGACACCAATCCTCCAACGAGAGCTGAAGTCTTGAACGCAATCAAACTTCTGAAAGCTGGGAAAACAGCTGGACCAGATGGAATACCCCCTGAAGCACTGAAAGCAGACTCAGAGACTACAGCAGACATGCTGACTCCATTATTGCAAAAGGTCTGGAAGGAGGGAAAGGTGCCTACTGACTGGAGGAGAGGTTACCTCGTGAAACTACCAAAGAAGGGAGACTTACGCCTCACTCTGCAAGAACTGGCGAGAAATCATGCTCCTGTCGACGCCAAGTAAAATCCTGAGTCGCATCATCCTGGAGAGAATAAAGGACGCACTGGATACAGAACTCCGACCAGAACAAGCTGGATTCAGGAAAGGCAAATCACGTACTGACCAAATTGCAACTCCACGCATCATCATCACAGAACCAAGCATTGAATGGCAATCAAACCTCTACCTCAACTTTATACACTGAAGATCAGATGGCCGGGCCGGAAAGAATCACCAACAAGAAACTATGACCACAAACAAACAAAACAAGAACAAATCGCCCAACATATATCCAGGAGAAAGTGGAGATGGATCGGACACTCGCTGAGGAGATCGCTGAGTGACATCGTGCGTCAAGCTCTCGAGTGTAACCCGAAAGGGAAGGGGCGAGTGAGACGTCAGTGCAAGGGTGACATGGAGGAGATCGTGTGAAGAGGAGTTGAAACAGTATGGACTAACATGGATTCAGGTGAAAAGTACAGCAGAAGACAGAAGCAAGTGGAGACGTGCAGTTGAAGCCCTATGTTCCACTAGGAACCCAAGGGAGGAATAATAATAAATAATTTTCATTTGCCTATACTGACTGGCTACTTGGGTTTATTGTAACATTCGTGAATTTATTTTTTTATTTTTATTATAGCTTGATTTCACACTGTATTTTTGGTACAAGTATAGAATTTTCAGCATGGATGTCGGTAGCCCAAATTTCGCAGACCGACCATAGATATCAGGTGTGCGTCGGCGTGGGCTCGAACCCCGGACCATCTGCATAATCGGCGAGAGTCCTAACCGCTGTGCCACCGACGCACTTGGGAATTGAAGAAGAATTTATTTAAACCACAATTGTCCGCTCAAAATTATCCTTTTGTTAAATATACTACAGGCATATTTAAATTACCGTTGGCGGTTGGCTCTAAAATCCGCCTTGAAGTCATCAGTCTGACCACTAGAACTACAATTACAACCTCAGATCACTTGTTCCACTCCCCATATAAACAAAATCTTATCAGTATTCTGATGTTTCGAGTGTTAGAAAAATCTGTACAATCGACACTCTGGACGATGAATTAGGGAAAGTGGGAAACTTATTATATGAGAACAGATATCCAGGAAAATTTGTTAAAGTCTTCTTTGATGAGAGGAGATTGAGAGAAATACCCATAAACAGCGTATAAGAAAAGTATGGTTACATCACTTTGTCGTCCCAAAGAGATGCATATACTGCATTACTGGCATCCGAACCGAGAAAAGTGAGAGCTGTCTGCTAGCTGAAATCGGTAGACAGCAATTTACGTCAATATTTACTTCCCAAATCTTGGTCATGAGACAAAACAAGAACAAAGACTTTCCGTGGGTGGATAGGATTCACAGATACATGGTCTGACCTTCAAAGAAATGGCCACAAAGAGATGACAGAATAACTTTCAACGAGAAAACAAACAATCAGAAGACGCTGTTTCCCTGCTAATAATAACGAATAATAGCCTACATGAAAGTCTATAAATATCTGCTGATTTTCTCAATAAGCGATCTCCTGGCTGGCCCTTGTCTTCTGTTGTTACAATAGCTAAAACATTCTTTGTCTCAATACTATGTTTAAAATCCACAGTTCGTAGTAAAATTTTAATGCAGGTGAAGGACAAGCTACTGGTTGTGACGATTTCAGTGTGCGTTTATAAATTCGACAGCTCTTTTGGCGAGAGTTACATTGATAGAATGACTCGGGAAGCCCACCTTTGCCCTTCATGAGCATTTTCCGTGGTTAAGAAAAAGGAATCGTAGAGTCAATGAGGAGTTGTTCCATATTGTGGTACACTTTAGTGGATACTGAGAAGAAGACTGATGATCAAAATTTCAACCTTTACAATTCCATACAAGGTACCAACCTCAATTCTCCAGGTTTGTACGCATTCAATTGCTAAGCATAGTTAAGGTAATTGCCATAAAAAAAATTCCTTCACTCTATATGTTCACAATCTCCTATGCATGACATTCAACCGTAAAGCTAGAATACTTATCACGTTTCCCACTGACACAGAATTAACTGTGTATGTAGAGCCTGAAGAACAAAAAGTTATTGCGGAAACAGATCCCCCCCCTTAGAAAGCAAAGTGGCTAGGTGAACTCCTCCAACCGCTACACAAGATGGTAGTAAATCATAGTGTTTTTGAATTCATTGCTAACGTGGATGTAATCAATGTGAATGGGAAGCAAATGCTATCCTTAGGTGTCACATCAGTGTTCACCAATGCACCATTTATGGGAACTGTGGAATTCATAAGCCAACAGATACTAGAAAAAAAAAAACAATTCGACATCGGAATTCCAGTTATTAGTCCGAAAGAGTTGCTTTTAAGATGTACTATAAATGTACACTTCACATTCAACAAACTTTATTACAGATAAATCGACGGCATTGCAATGGGTTCTCCATTGGGGCCAATTTTGGTAGATTTCTTTCTTGCTAAGCTTGAAAATGGTCCATTGAAACAAGTAAAATGGATAAAAACTGATTCTTATTTTCGCTATGTTGATGATAGATACGTTTATTATTATGCTTGATGTGAAAGCTGACAAGAATGAAATGTTAATAACATTTAATGATGCACATCCATCGTTCATCTTCACTTGTGAAGAAGAACATGATGGTAGATTACATTTCCTTGACATCCAATTGAGCAGGAGAGGGACTAGATGGTTCATTCAAGAGAGATGTCTGTAGAAAACCTACATCTATAGGACAATATACACATTCCCTCAGTTTTGTACCAATCCGATACAAAGTCAATTTGGTCAGATGCGCCTCACGAATAGAGCAAGACGTATCTGTACAGATGACTCCCTACAAAATGAGTTAGGATATATTCAAAATACGCTGGTCCAAATGGGTTATCCTAGTAGATTTGTCAGGAGACACATGAACACCAAGTACAATAAAGCAAAACCGACAACAGTTAAAAAGAAACAACTGTTCATGAAATTGCAAATTATTAGAGACATGATCATTGAAGTTTTACATCTGAGATTATCGAGAGCAATAAAACGGACTTATACTGCCGCCACCCTCTGTTTGTCATTTTCCAACCGACCAATTATGATCGCTCAAGTGAAAGACAAGCTACCTAGCTGTGCCACTTCTATATGTATCTATAAATTTAGTCGCTCCTGTGGACAGAGCTATGTACGGCAAACAAATAGATAGCTCAAAAAACGCATTAATGAGCATCTTCATTCATGGTTCGGAAAATAAAATCTACAAAAAGTTCTATTTTGACTTATATGAATGATGATAGCGGTCATCAAGTGAACAGAAGTAATGCCTTTAAAGTTATCTGTGGCACTCCATTGAGCCTTTCGAACTCGCCTTTTACACATAGCCGAAGCTATGGGAATTAATTCGAGAGAACAATCCTAGTGTCTTTGCATACAACAAAAGAAATTTGTTCTACCTTTGTCTCTCCCTTGCCTGGCCTAGGTGAATTCTATTCAAAACCCTCCCAACCCTTTCTTATTTTCCATTTCCGAATTTTATGTTTTAACGATATTTATTTAGACTTTGATTATCTGACCACTTCACCTTTAGTATTGCGTAACGTTTAAGACTTGACCTAATTTTTTTATTTATTGAATTGTCTACATATCACTACACATATATTACTACCTTTGTTATTCTTATCGCCACTTGCATAAACCCTACTATCATTATTTTGTTATCATTATAATCATCGTTATTAATGACGTTCTAAACATTTACCACATTATTATTATTATTATTATTATCATTACTTAATCCACAAAATCACCGTCATTGGTTAAAATTTTTTATATATAAATCTATGTAAATTAGAGTAAAGCCTAAAGAAGATCTAATTGAAAACAACAGCAATATTGTTCACTGATATATCTTGTTCCAAGCAATTTTCTTGTTCTAATAGTTGATTTATACCCTATGAATAAAAAAAACCAACAACAACAACTCAATACTTACTTCAGAAGTGACTTCAGTCCATGTTTTATTCATATTTTCTAATTCACTATCCAATGTAGATATAGCTGTCATATCACATGTATGCATTAATTCATGACCAAGATCATTCAATGCTGAAACACGTGTACGCCATTCTTTTAACTCGGTATACAATTTTTCACGTTCTTCAGAATTGGTTGTTTCATCAGCCAGTCGTTTTTTCACATCACATAGCCAATTACCTAAATTTGCTTTTTCCTTTAATTAAATTATAAAAGTAAGAATTGAAAAATAATAAAGAGTAATAGTCATTATAATAAACATAAATGCTGTTAGAATAGACAAACTTCTTTGTTAGGTGTAATGAAGGCGTCATAATTTATGCATGCATTGACATGATGGTTTGATTGGACAGTTTTTGATTGGTTGATTTATGGCTTAATTTTCTGACGTTTTGTAAGTCTGATATATCATGTATTTTTTGTCTTATAAAAGTTGTGAAGGTTGTCATGGTTGAATCTGACTTTTATGTCTCCCTCAGTTTGAGGGATATTTTCAAGTGATCAATTGGTTATTGTGTCGTGTTATGGAAGCGCATTCTATAGACGACCTGACATCCTCAGGGGAAAAAAAACCCCCATCATCAAATTCTTTGCACGCACAACTATTTCATATAGCAAAATAGCATAGAATGTGGAATGTTATCTCCCACCTAGTGAAACATATAATACAGAGTACTATAAGAATAATAACTGAACGCAATACGTATCACTAGTTGGTTTACAGGAATTTGATGCATTTCAATTTACAACAAGAAATGACTTTAGCCCGAGAATTACTGATGGCACAAGAATACTGCATAGCTGTTTCGTCCTTGTTTGGGACTCTTCGGTCATACGCATCCATTGCCCTTAATATTATATCACTTGAATATATTTATTACCCGAAATTTTTGTTTATTTTGCTTATTTAAATCCCCTTACGCATTACGTTGGACCGACAAGAAGACTTCAAAAGATTGGTACCTTGCGGGCAATCTATGTCTAATGTCACACAAACTCGAAGATATACAGATGAAATTAAGAAACTCAAAGAACTGGGAAGGATGCAGAGAAGGCCGAAATTCAAGTGAACACCAATCACTATCATGAAATTTGACGGGAGTCATTTCTTTCAAATACCTAGGACGTATCGTTTCAACAATCAGTTTCCACTTTGGTACTGTAAATGGCAATCCCGGAAAGTAAATAATGTATATAATATTTAGACAAAGCAATAAGATGACTTTTTTTTATTTCTTTACGTTCCCAGTGGAATATAGAACTTCAAGCTAGAAGCTTAAAGCTTCTGTAGCAGTGTTTATGTCTACTGGATGGGATTGCTAGCCTCATCCCCAACCTTTCCTCTTTACCAGGATTATTTCTGGCTTAGCGAGGTAAAGGAGTGCGTCGGCCGAGAATCGAACCCCAGACCATGTGCATAGTCAGCGAGGGTCCTTAACCACTGTGCCCCGACGCAACAGAGACTTTGGTAACACATAACATTAAGACAGAACTTTGTATGAAGCAAAAAAAGATTTGTACGATTTCTTTCGTAACCCCATGGTCTATGTAATTCACATAACAACTTTGTTAGCCTTCTTTATTCCGCGTTCCATTTTTCTTTTATTTCATTTCACATTATTATATTCTAAAATTTTATCTAGTCTACTATTTTGACAACATTTTACTCATCTTATGTCGCCTCCATCAGGTTTATTATATTCACACATTCACATAACCGAATGTACTTTATTTTCCGATCATCTATTTCAAACTTGTCTATTGAATTTCAGGTTGACCTCTATTTATTTAGTCATTTATTCATATATCTAATCAGTTGTGACCATATATATATATATATATTCAAGTATTGGTTTTGTAGGGATTTTGTTTGATTGCATGCGCTATGTCGTGAATTGGCAGAAGTTAGAATTCAAGGACAATTGGATCGGGTCCCAGTGGCTCAATGGTCTACGAGCTCGCCTTGTAACCAGAAGGTCCTGGGTTCGAATCCCGGTGGGTGCGTACTGATGAAGAGTCCCAAACTACGACGAAACAGCTGTTGAGTACTTCCAGTCTGTTTTCCAATGGTTCTCTAACTGATGTCAGCTCATAATTACGGGGGAAACTGATGGCTATTGTATATTGTAATTCATAAATACATACGATTGTACAGCCATGAAAATAACATCGTCGAAAAGAGGATTTTCTTCGATGGATTTTTTGTTTTTATGTCTGAATGGGGATTATTAATTTAATATTCATTGAAACAATTTATTATTATTATTCCCTGGGGCTTCCACGTGGAACACACAGTACTTCAGCTGCACATCTCAATTTCACACTCTGCTCTCTGAGGTCTTTTTCTCAACTGGCTCAACAATTGTCTATAATCTTGTATTTGCTCTTTACACGATCTCTTCCATGTCACACCCTCGGACCTATACAACCAATACTCTTCACTCAAGAGATGGCACCTGGCCCTTCGGTATATTTTTCGAGAGAGAGACTCTTAGTTGGTTTGTTGTCAAAATTCCTTGTTGCTAATCCTTTCTAGACCGGCAGACCGGAAGACTATTTGATCTTCAGTACCGAGCCAGAGAAGGGGAGCAGTAGCTGTTGATGAAAGTTTGCAGTAGACTATTTGGAAATGTTTCCGGTAGCGCCCACGCACACCGAGTCTCTGAACCATATAGAAGCATTCACTTGATTGACATTTGGGGTTGCATATTCAGGTCTTGTACTGTAGGTTGAGTTCAGCCTATTTCCGATTCTGACTAGCTTTGATATCCTCAGTATACTGAAATCATTTAACCATTTTGCTCAAATCAGACTTCTTAAAAATAATAATCAATCCAATATTTGATTACAAAAAAAATTTTAAAAATGATCTGAAATTCTTAAAACCTACTGTTTCATATTGATCCCATTTCATACAAAATTCTCCTAAATGTGATTGTAAATCCAATAAATCTGACCATGTATCTTTCCAACGTGTTTGTAATGAGGATAGAAATAAATTTGCCTCCCTGCGTTCCGTTTCAGCATAATCCATTAGAATGAAGGCTCCACCACCAGCAGTAACTGAAGCCTGCTGTTGACTCAGCGAATTGGATAAATCTGCTTTCAACTCCATTTGTTCACGTTGTTCATCTGTTCGACAAGCGATATCATCACGTTCACCGGCTAATTGCTTTAACTTCTCTAAACTAGTATTCATATCTTCAGGTAAATTCAGTGAAGTTAGATATTCCTATTTCATGAGAGAGAGAGAAAGATAATGTAAAACAAATTTACAGTCAAATTCAATTCAAATCGAATAATAACTGGTAAAGTGGCGTGTACTACTGACAAGGTTCGATAGTAGTGTATAGAGACGTAGATTGATAAGGGGTGTCTAAAATTGGAATCAACATTTCAAGCCAATGGCTGCAGAGGTAGGTAGATAGATGTGTTTATTCTCATATCTGCATTTAGTTTATATTGCCGAGACACTTCTTGTCGTCCCAAGGTTTGACCTTGGGAAAATACCAACCAATCAGGACAGTTTATTATTATCCGCTGACTTAGACGATTTTAAATGTGGTTGAAAGTGTATAAATTTGGTGTTGTAGTTTTGCTTTATAAAAGATGCCTGTTACCAAGACTCTTGTCTTCTTCCGTTACAATAACTGTTGCATAGAAGGTGGCTGTTGTGGCCCTAATAGCCTACACGATAATGCTTTGACGACTGGAACGATGGGTACAGGGTTCGAGCCTCAATTAGTTTGCAAGTGTAGAGCCAGCTAACTAGTCACTAGAAGGCACGAAATGTGCATCTGAATCCCACTGTTGCTCACGATAAAGCAAAATAACATCCCAATTAGATGATGAGTTCGAGACTCAAATAAAGAGAACACCACTGCTCACTGAGAATGCTGCTCTGCAAACACCTGACTTTCACAAAATAAGTACAAGACGTGTACCCTTGATTATCACAGGGCTAGCGGATTTCAAATAATGACAAGTGAGAATTAAAAACATCTCTGTAAAAGTGGTACGACCAAATACCGTGCAAAATGACAGCACACCAACCAAAAGACGTGTATACTACTCAGCAGGTCGCTCCGTCGTCCTTTATAGCTGTGAGTGAGACACGACCACTGAGTGTGGTAGACATGAAGAGGCTAGCTGTCTTTGATCATAGGTGTCTGCATTCTCTATCTACCGTATTAGGTAGTATAATGGAATGAGCAATAGTGAGGTTAGGCCTCGGTCGAGTGTTAAGCAAGGTAGAAAATCAATCGACGGGATTGTGAAGTTAAACCGATTGAGATGGTTAAGACATGTGTTACTCATGCCTACCATCGATCGCTTCTTCGATGGACGGATAAGGTTGGAAAGAGTTAGCACATACTGGTCAAACCAAAACATGATTTCATCAATCAGTGAAATCCATAACAATTAGTTTAAGCCCCAACCACCGTCTTGCAGATCCAAACCACACACCACCACCCCCGTATCAACCAAGTGCTGAAGTCAGAGATGCTGCCAACCCTAATGCTGCGGAAGGAGAATTAGACTTTTCGAAAGAAATATTCATTCAAAAAGGATATCCCCCGAGATTTAATTATAAGAACATCAAGCCGAGAAAATTCAAAGACACAAGTCAACTGTGCTAAAAATGACACTATACATGGATCATGACTTCAACTGTGACCCTACTCAGTGGTTTTCTTCAGAGAAAAATTACAGCTTCTTTAAGAAGAAAGTAGTGGTCTCCAGTTGGCCACTTATCTTCAGAAGGTGAAAGGAGAAGATCTCGTATTTGACCACCTCTCTAAGTATATATAAGCAGCTCACTTGTTCTCGTGAAGTTAGGTATATTAGTCGTTCGACGCGGATCTTGTCTAAATGGGTTCAGCAACACTATCCCTTCCTAAGACGATCCGTTTTCTCCTTCTCTACACTACTGAATCTTTAGCTATCCAGATGGAGAAACCGGAATTGTGCATACAAAAGAAACATCTTTCTATCACTTCTATTATCATAACAAGGAACATATTGCTTTCAACCTAATTGTTTTCCTAATTTTATTTCTCTAAACCTTTCTGATTCATCTATGCCCTCGAACTCATAGACCATGCAAAATTTCCTTTATTTCTATGTGAATCATGATTACGGTTCACTTATTACATTATTTACCTCATTAAATAATTCGAATATGTATTGATTAATATTAGCACTACCCACTATTATAATTTAAAAGAATTGTAAAATAGCTACTGGATGGATTTTCTGAACCTGCAGCAGTAAGCTGTAACCAGTTTTTTAATTCCTTTACGTCCCCAGTGGAACATAGGGCTTCAAACTGGAGGCTCGAAATTTCGGTAATAGTGATGTTTATTTTTACGGGATGTGGTTGTTAGCCTCATGCCCAACCTTTCTACAATACTAGTCTAATTACTGCCATGGTTAGGTAAAGGAGTGCGTTTGTGACCTGGGACTGAACCCAGGACACCATGCGTGGTTGGTGAGTATTCTACGAACATTATAACCAGTAAGGTCCACCATTTCAAAGTGAAGTGAAAAATCATCAAAGACGAAGACTGACAGCACCATTATATATCAGGAGTTGACAAAGTTAAAATTCAGGGATTAATGAATTCAAACAACGGCCTAAGTGGCTGAATGGTTAACGAGCTAAACAAGCGCTTCATAACCTGAAAGTTCCGGTTTCACTCCTCGGAGGGTGTGTATACCGTTCAGGAGTGCCATCAGCTGGGACGAAACAGCTGTCAAGTCCTCCTTGGTGATTCTCAATCATCTCTCTGGTTCCTGACAAAAAACTAACAATTGGAAAAATTGTAAATAAATGCAACTGCACAGCTAAAGAGTAAAATGAACTCACAGGATTTCATCATGAACTGACATCAGTTAGAGAACCATTGGGAAACCTGGGAGTACTGGACAGCTGTTTCGTCGTAGTTTGGGACTCTTCATCAGTACGCATCCACCGGGATTCGACCCCTGTCACTTCTAGTTACAAGCCCGTATAACATTAAGCCACTGGGTGTACGAGCTCGCCTTGTAACCAGATGGTCCTGAGTTCGAATCCCGGTGGGTGCGTACTGCCGAAAAGTCCCAGGTTTTCCAATGGTTCTCTAACTAATCTCAGCTTATGATGAACTCCTGTAACCAATCAAATCCCTACAAACCAACACTTGAATATGAAAATAAATTTGCCTGATAAAAAAGAATCATAAAAACTATTCATCAATCCACAGCTTACTTTAATCTCGGAAATGAATGTGTCCACTTCAGGTTTCACTTTACACTTGAACGTTTGCCAATCAGAGACACGATCACGGATCATAGTTACTTTGTTGGCTAAATACCAACGTAAAGCTAAGCGTTGCAAACGTCGTTTAGCCAGTTGACCATCCAAATAAGCTGTAATAAAACGTGATCTTAAAGAATTGACAATATTCTGGGGTAGATGAACAGGCAATGTCTGTAGGACTTCTTCTGATGCATTTTCAGCTAATGAAAGTATTTTTTTATTTTCTTCGCTTAATCGATTGATCATGTTGTCAAGATCATCAATATTTTTGTAAATTTCCTACAATTTAATGTTTAAAAGAAAGAGAAACATGAGAATAATGAGACTGTTAACGAATATATAATTCGCTACACTTTGAAATGACAACATAAAGACACATTATTAAACATAGTCATACACTTACCAGCATCCAATAATTGGCACATATCTTGACCTAGCGGAGGAATCGCACTCCGTCAACCGGAAGGTATTATGGCGACGTTTGACCGTGAAGGGAGTGCGGACAAAGTATGTATCATTAATCAGGGTACTCCACTCGGACTCACACTGTCGTGCAGAAGCTTATGGATAGATGCCATCTGAAGTGATGACAATCATTGATGTCCGTCAGGGGGATGCCCAATGTCCTTATTTCTGTTTAATTTCATCATAGATGTACTAATGGAATTGATAAGAACTGATTTTAGAAACTTAGAGATTGACTTGCTAACAGGTAACAGTCTTGTCGACTTAGAGTATGTGGATGACATTGCGCACCCCCCCCCCAGATGAAGACGCTGACGAAATCTGAAGTCTTCTGAACACCTTGAGCAGAAACCTTAGAATAGTTGGCAATCAGATGTAAGATGATGCTGCAGAACTCCACCATACCGACTTCTAGTTCGAAGATAGGGGGTGTGAAGTGGTGGAGCGTGTTGACCGCTTCGTCTAATAGGGAACCAACATCAGTTAGAGAGATTATTGTAAGTCCAGGAGCACTTAAAAACTATCATCCTATCTTGAGACACGTCAGCAGTGTGCACACACCAACGATGATAAATGGGTAAACTTTCAGCTTACGAGACCACGGACGTTAACCAGCGAGTCACTTGGGACGGAATTGAAGATTCTTGGATTTAATAACTTTACCACAGTACTGAATGGTAAACCAACTTGATCTCACATAACCTGACGGTCCTGAAGTGCGAACCCTAGTTTTGTAGTGGGTATGCACTGTTGAAGCTTCTCAGACTAGAAAAAAGCAGCTGTGTTCAGTGCTCCCTCGAGATTTTCAGTTGTTATGACCGGAACTATGACCTAATATACTTTGACCGAATACTAACCGTAATGCGCTGGCTAATCTGTCCTAATTGTAAGTGAACAACAACAACAACAGTATTCACACCGCCAGGCCACAAAAGACAAAAGAGAAAACCGAGAGTTGATAGCAGAGCTTCTACTGTCAAAAAAGATTGACAGCGCTTGCGTATATATGCGTTTGAAATGACCTTGAGAAGCACTAATGTCACTGATAAATAAGAGCAGTGAACAACCAATAGGATTTTTTAAAACCAATAAAAGGAATTTTATCACTGAAGAAAAACTTAAGTCATTAAATCACACAGAGACAAATGAGTGAATCAATACCACTGAAATGCATACATACCTCATGTTCATCTAAACAATTCTGTAGACGTTCTTCACGTTCCTTCATTGTTAAATTCTTTGCCTCAGGAGCCAATTCAAGACCAAGTTGTGATGAGATAAGTGCATCGTTAATAAGACATTTTTCTAATTTTGATAACCAATGCCCAACTTGACGCCATTCCCCTGGCAAAACACTATCTAAACGCCATCTCCATTCATCTAGCTCAGGTTTTACTCGACTCCATTCAGCTTCAGCACGTTCCAGCTCTTCTGGACGTAAACCGAGTAGTAGGCCTTGACGTTTACGTTCATCAAGTTCTCTAATATACGCTGCCATACTTTCATGTTCCAGTTGAGCTTGAAAAAAACTCTACAATTTGAAATACATAGTTAATAATCATTGTTAGAATTTACAAATGAATACAATTCACACACTACGAGATGTAAAAGATGCCCTAACTATCGTTGCCTTTGTACACTGGCAGTGAATATATGTGCAGGAGATATCTTAACAACTAACTTTATCTTCGATCGATTCAGATTTGAAGCTTCAAGAGAAGAGAGTAAGTCAGTACTCCGACCCCGCCCTCCCCCCGCGTCCCAAAAAATATCGTGTTGACAAGATACATAAAAAGAATATAAATCACAAGTTCTTTTTGACAGTAACTCAACAAACTTAGTACAGATAGTGTAATCACTTAATAGAGTGCCGTGTTTATTATTCGAAAGTTGGTCATATGAATCCTGTCTCGGTTAATCCAGATTTTTAATTCATCTTCAATGATCACTTATTAAATCAACCGTAGTCTAGAAAATCCAAAGTTATCCCGACAAGTTTCACCATCAACTATGTTAATGTTATCCCTCTGCCTTCCAAGTGGAGTATATGCCTTCAAAAGCTTGAGCTTTGAAGTTTCAGTAGCAGCGGTGTTGCAAGTCTCACATTCAACCCTCCTTCCTTACCAAGTTTCTTGTTTACCAGTACATTAGGAGAGGTTTCGGAGTGCATCATTCGGAAATAGGATTGCAATCTCCCATGTGGCTGGCGAACAACATTCTATCGACATCGAACTACGGGATGCACTGGAGGCAATAATTGTATGAAATCCTTCTGATGATATTCATTGCTAACTTATCCTACTAATCGAAATCAACGTTAGTTCAATAAATTGAATATCGATATCAAATCATGTACTGTGAGTACAACTCTATGTTTTCTTCTTGAGTTTTAGTGCACAAACTTTGACAAACATCTTTGTATTTTCCTTATTCACCAATGTACCGCTTATGGAAACACTGGACTTTGTATGCGAAGAACTCAAAAGACGAAATATCGATGTTGGCATTCCTATATGTTTTTATGGAAGAGTTTCTCTTGAAATGCACAATGAATGTCCATTTTTTATTTTATAAGGAACTATATAAATAAATCGACGGTGTGGCGATGGGGTCAACACAAGCACCCATTCTATCCGATATTTTCCTTGCGAAACTAGAAAATGGGCCTTTGAAGGATGTTTTTGGTAAACTTGAATTCTATTGTCGGTAAATGGATGGATGATACATTTTTGATTATGAAAAATAAGGAGGAAGCAAAGAACATCCTGGATAAATTTACCGACGTTCAGCCTTCAATAAATTTTACTATTGAGAAAGAAAAAGACTCTAGTGTTTCATTTCTAGACGTCCTTATGACCAGAAATGAGGATGGCGCAATAAGAAGAAGTGTATATAGAACACCTACATCAACGGGTCAGTGTACTCATTTTTTCAACTTCGTGTCATTTAAATACAAACGCAATCTGATAAAGTGCGCAATCCATAGAGCAAGAGCAATCTGCTCTGATGAATGTCTTAATGAAGAGCTTAATATTACTAAACAGTTATTGAGTGAGAATGGTTACCCAGAAAAATTCATCGACAAGAATATGAATCAGAAGTCAAGGCAGATTGAAAGTACCAGCAGTTCCGAAGAAAGCCCTATTCTTATAAACTTCAGGTTCCTCGGGGATTATATCAATAAGATATATAACACAACGCCTAAGGAATGCGGTAAAAAGGCATTCAGTGCTGCTGAGTTACTCTGTGTCTTCAAAATCATTCCTACTTTTCGTTCGAGAGTGAAAGATAAACTGACTAATTTCGTCTCTTCTATGTGTATCTACCAATTTAACTGCACCTGTGGAGTGAACCAGTTATATAGGCCGTACAATTAGGCGTATTTCTCGTCGAATTTCCGAACATCATCCTTTGTGGTTGGTTAAGTGAAGGACAAACAAAATCTATTCGTAGCGCCATTCTATCTCATCTTGTAGATACAGAACACATGACTGATGTTAACCAGGCTTTCAGGGTCATTTGCTGCATACCAACAAATCTCAATTTTGCCTTAAGAGTTCGACTTACTATATATTGCTGAAGCTGTTGGGATCCACATTAACAAGCCTTTTTAGTGCATCCAAAAAAAGTTAGTTCACACATTATCCTTACCTTGGACATCTAGGCTTCAATGATCCTCAATTTTCGTGGAAATTTCCCTAATTTTAGTTGATATTATATTTACTATTAAATCTTTATTATTACTATTTAAGCATCTCTAATGAACTGTAATTCCATTGTGATCTTCCTTAAGAAATCGATAATATTTAAAAACACTAATATTGTCATTGACTACTATTCTAGAATATTCTAAGTATATAATCATAAATATATAATTATAGAGCCAGAAGAGGAAACTATGAAAAAGGATATTCTTTGCTCAATTATTTTGTGTTTTCCTAGATATGTGAATGAATATTTTCGCTAAATTGAAATCTTTCTATTCGCCGAAATCTTCAAAATAAACTCGACTTCATAGTGACAGTGTTTTATCAGCAGGCTTACACTCCCAAATATTGATGCGTTCAGTATTGATTGAATGTACAGTGAAAATCTGCACCACAGTAGGAGTAGAGCTTAGCAGTCTTCGAAATAAATTTGAACCAAGAGAGTAAGGGTGGGGGGAAATGAAGGAAGAGGAGTCAAGTGAGTAGGTCTGATGGTCAAACTGAAAAGATTCTAAAAGGAATATGACACATGTGTGTGTGTGTGTGTGTGTGTGTGTGTGGAATCCAGCATGCGCATTTCGTCCTATTTAGGGACGCTCTAGGTGGAGATATGTACCTGTGATCCCTAATAAGCGATGTTATTACTATTTATGGTGATCCATAACGTTATCTTCATTGAAGACTGGTTAGTGAGCGAATAAAGAACATTCTTTTCGATAACTTCTCCTGCATCATGTTCTACATTTACATCCATCGATAATAATTAAAGAAATATTCTTGATAATATCATTTAAGTATTAAAAATATTGAATGAATAATACTTATCTACTTTTTTCGAGTTCGGCCACGGATTGATATCGCAGTACTCACCCATTATCGGAATTCGAACCCAGGAAATTCCAGTTACAAGGCAAGCTCATATACCATTGCCTAACTAGGATGAAACAGCTGTCCAGTACACTCTGTGGTTGGTTTTCAATGATTCTCTAACTGATATCAATCCGTGGTCAAACTCGTAAAAACAGATAAAATCCTTACAAATCAACTCTTAGAAATTAATACTGATCTGTTACATTTCGAAAGTATTTTTCAGTGATTATATGCATAAAAATATAAGATTACAGCGCTTATCGAATAAATTAAAGGAAGTAATACTGAATTTATGAATTTATAGGTTCCCACAACACACCAGGATAGCAATAGTGACTGGACCTGTTTCTTTTGCACACACACACACACACAGAGCCTCAGTTCTTTAAAGTGAACTGCACTTACCTCTGCTATTTGCAGAGTTCGATATTTGGAAGGTTTTGGCTATATATATTTGGTACCCGACAGATGATAGAAACAGATTCTTCAATAAAGTTTTATAATCTGTACCTGTGTAGTGTTTACACTATACCACCTTATTTAGCTACACGCAGGTAGGTGGTGTTCCTCAACACCAAAAACCAAGTCCTAGAATGCAATAACCAATACAACTGTCTCCACAGGAGCTGTTGACCAATGAACTGACAGATCCAAGAAAGAAAGAAAGAAAGGTGGAACTAACCTCAAACTCAGTAATAAAATCTTGGGGATTGATCGGATTATGTCGAACACGAGCAATTAACTCTTTAATATTGATTAATAGAATTCGTTCTTTTTCAGCCTCTGTCTTTGGAGCATTACCCTGGAGAGAGAGAGGGAGAAGGGGGAAAAGAAGGGCGAGATTTTAAATTGGAGGAAGAACTTTACAAGGAACGATCTTATTCACGAACGACAGATATGCGCATGCAACAGGAGAATATACAATCATGAACGACAACAAATTAGTGCAATAAACAAATAAGTGAATAAATAACACGTCAATAATAACAACAAACAAGACAATTTCACATTGCACTGTGAATAATGTCTAGGAAGATAATGAAACCTCAGTTATAATCTATCCATACTCAGAGAACACAACTAATACATCACAAAGGCAAAGAGAATACACAACAAGGGTTTTCAGAGTGAATTTGAATCTCGGAAACTTGCCCTAAGCCTTCAATAATAATTCAGAGAAACTTCGATTTCACTTTAGAAGTTGAATCCAACTCGATGTTCAACTGCAAAGAAATGTTGATTTGAGTGATGAATCAACAGTAGCGAAAAAATCAGTTCTTGAGACATCTCCTGTGTTGTAGTTCCGTCCTTCTCTCTGAAGTTGTTTCGATAAGTTGATCATACAATCAATTAGTATAATATATCAAATTGCTGCTATATAAATTTGGTTCATTTGGTTTTAAGAACCTTTCATTTTTGTTCTATGTATCGTCTACTTGGAGACAGTATAATCGCTATGATCAGGGTTGAAAGGTGTTCTTCGGGTAAGGATCTTTTCTAGCTTTTCCTTTTGGATGTCAATTATTTCTTGGTATCTCTGGATCCGATAATGTGTATCTGTAATCATTCCAAACTGTTCCGTCAATCCCCATCTATTGGCCAGTTAATTGATGAGTGACCTGTACCTGACAATGCTTGGTGTCAGGTAACAATAGTAATCCTTTTCCTTCGAAAAAGAGGAGCATAGGTTGTTTACCGATACATATATGCTTACACAATAAGTCGTTTATTTCACTGTAAAATATGGATCTGAACAGCAATCGCCGCCAATCGACAGACACATCTACGTTTGAATTTATATTCCAGTGGGTATTGCCAGCTTTGAAGATGAGAAAAATTGTCAATGATGAAGTGGTAGAATGCTCAACAACCATGAATATACTCTAGTCTCCGAACCTCGGTGAGCGAGTGTACTTTTGAAGAATCCCTCTCTAACTAGGACGAAACAGTTGTCCAGTACTCCTTGATGGCTTTCCATTGATTCTCTAACTGACGTCAATACGTAATCGAGCCTGTAACCAATCAAATCCATGTAGACCAACACTTGACTATCGCGATTACTCCTTGATTTTCGATGGTTCTTTACAATAATGTTGGTTTCTACAAGATGAAATTGTTCTTGAAAATAAGAAATAATTGTCTAAATTATAGTGAACTGATACGATAAATTCCCCCCTTAGTGCAAAGGTCTCCTTGAACGGATCATTTTTGATTTTATGTTTACTCAACTTTTCATACTATCTGTTTACTGGTATTCACTGATGCGGTGGAGTGCAGAAGAATTTACATGTTGTTTAATTTTAAATTCAAATTCGTTAGCTGATTACCCCATCTCTTGAATCTCCGTAAGTAACAGTTTACCCGATACGACTCGAATTCAGTAGTCATTGTTTTAAATAAATAAATAAATTCTCTTTGATAAAAATTTCGAGTTTTTGGTTTAATGGTGAAATAATAATCGCTAACCACACCTCACGCAGTCCGCGGTTCGACCCCTGGCCATCGACGCGCTCAAAAACCTCACTTAGCCGGTGGTTGTAAGTCCAGTAGATAGGGAAGGTTTGGTTTAACGGTGACAACTCCATCCCGTAGAAAAGAATAATATCAAAGCTCAAGCTTGAAGGCCTCTTAGGTCCCACTTGGAATGCAAAGGATTAAAACAAATCATAACTAAAAATAGTGAAAGACTTAACTGATATCAATCCATGATCAACTCGTCAAAACAAATCTAATGCTTACAACAAACCAACTATTGAAAATTAATCTGATGCTTGCTAGTGAGTGACTGGCTACAGGACGGAGTTTCCTGGAATTCTGGTGAAAAGTTGTGACCAGTGAGGTCCATCCAGTCGGCATTCGAGGATGGATTTCCCACCGATAACACTGATTGGTGGTTGCGCTAAATATCTCGAATTGGTAGAAATTAGAATTCATGAACTGGCCATTGAATCGGTTCGTTATGGATTCGAACCTTGGTGGTGAGTGCGTACTGAGGATGAGTCTCAGCAGCTTTTCAGTACCTATTGATATCAATCCGTGGTCTAACACGGAAACCAAATCAAATCCTTACAAATCAACTCTCGAACATAATTAACAGCTAAACGGTCAGTGAGCAGTTGAGAAGAACAGCTAGAAGAGTACAAGGTTACTTGTTTAGAAATGAGAAAAAAGAATGTGCATAGAAAAAGGTGACTGAGTGCGTCAACATGCAGTAAGGAATGCATTTCTTTTTTCAGGCCACATAAACTATAAAACAACTAATAGTATAAAATAAGAAATCAATAATATGCACCTCTCCACCTAAATGTAAAACTGGAACAATATTACGCGTAGCTTTAGGTGGTTCAGCTGTTACTCGAATATTTGCAATTGCCCGACATTTCGATACATTTTTAGCTACACGACATAAACGTAGGCCAGCATAGGAACGTGCACGTGCAGATCGGTGCGGTGATGTACTATAACTTGGTGGTGATGGAGAGCCTGACATAGTTCCAGCGTATACACCAGGAGTTGATGAAGACAATGCACCACCAGCAGTCATAACATCATCTGAGGTGTTGATGCACCACCTGTCTCAGAGCTTACAGGACTTGTAGCTACAATTAAATTACGTAATGCTTCATCATCCATTGTTTGCGGACCACCTAAACTTGCACGTCTTGCACGTCGACGTTCTAAAAAATTAGCTGTAGTAGAAGCATTTAATATTAGAGCGGGATCGATTTCTGGATCTGGTTCATAAGTGGCTAATCTTAACGAGGTATGATGTTCATTGTCTGATTTCATTTCAGCAGGCTTTTTTGATGAATCTATCGCCTTTGTTTCATGTTGTAGTGGTGATTTATCCATACTGTTACTACTTGATCTCCGCGAATTCGATCTTGATTTGATCTTCAAAGGACAGAATTTGTAAGGAAAAGAAGAAGCAATTCGAAATGTAAAAAATTAACAAAAACTACTTTGTAGATATTTTACAAAGAAATAATAGAAGATGAAGGATCCTTTTTCCATCTACATAGAACAGCTCCCACAAACGATCTTGTATGAGGCCGATGGCGGGTGGACATTGGCCTTCTTCTCTACATGAATGCTCTCATATCCTCACACGTCAACAGCTCCTCTACACTGCCAGGTAAGTCCCATTCACTGCTTTCACGTCACTGCGGGATGATCCTCGCATAAGTAAAAGGAAGAAGGCGAATGTCTGGCGCTTCCAACTGGATCAGTGGACATACAACTCTACCTAGAAGAGCTAGATAACTCTGATTCTACACCTAGGGATGCAGCTTCTGACACTCCTTGGCTACCTTTTGGAACATACTTCAAGACAAAGGTTCGGGATGAAGTGATCTCTTAAGACAACTCTACCTGCTCCGATCAGTTCCCCTTAACAAAATTCTCATGAAACAGACGATAAACCTCACAGTTATAATGTGAGGACTGATGATATTACTCAGTTGCCCTCCTCCACCCTAGATGAAGCGGGATTCAGACCAATAACCCATTGGCATAAAGGCTGAGTACTTAGAACAATCAATGAGTTGTATCTGGACCCATTGTATCACTTGTAGCCTGGTTGGTACATGAAGTATCCGATTCGAATAACTTTCATTAGCAACAAACAAATTGTTGAGATTAATCTGTAAAAAAGGTTCCCCAAAACTGAAACCAACAAACTAGCAGGGAGAGGAGCAGCAATGAAACCATCACGTAAAAAACGACGGAAACCTCTTAAAATATGTAATATTTACGACAAGTGTCATTTCCGAAAGAAATTCAAATGAAGGATGAATCGATAGCCTGAAATATTCCTCAAAATAGGTTAGTTATTCTCTTGAAAAAAGACTGACTTCATACGCCATCCAAACACACACTGACTGACACATTTCAGCATACAACTGTGCACTAATGTACAGCAGTTCAAGTCGTTACACTTCCCCCTTAGCACACGAAGCAAGAGAAGAAAGTAAAAAGAAATGCAAAACAGAGGCAGTAAACACAGACATACGGGGTATGAGTTCAACTATAATCTTGACACAAATAATGCCTCATGTTATCCACTAGGCGAACGGAAGAAGTCATGGAAAGGAGGCTGGGATCGACTGCCAGTCAGCGAACTCCTAAACATCTCCCCTAGTTCACTACTCAATAGTGATCCCGGAAAAGAAGAAAGTTTCGGTGTAGAGTTAGAGCACACACCTTACCCTCTCCTCCGTAAGAAATTACCAGTGGCACTGAAACTTCTTCAAATGCTCAAACCCAATGTTCCATTCGTAAACAGGAAAAACTGTCTAACGTGATATGACAGCAAACGCCAACTAGCATATTGTGGTAAGAGCTGTCTGATAGCCAAAATTGGTAGACAGTAATTTCCGTTAATGTTTACGTCCAAATCTTGGTCATGAGAAAAGAAACAAGAACAAAGGCTAACTCAAGAACCAATAACAGCAGACTTTGCGTGAACGGATGCGATTCGCAGATATATGGTCTGGCCTTCAGAGAAATGGCCACAAAGAGATGACAGAATAACTTTCAAAGAGAAAACGACCAATCAGAAGACGCTGTTTCACTCTTAATAATAACGAATAATAATGTACTTAAAAATATATATATATGTGTTGATTTCCTCAATAAGCGATCTCCTGGCTGGCCCTTGTCTTCTGTCGTTATAATACTACTGCCAGGTATATGGAATTAAGACATCAAAAAAATACACTGACCGCTAATCATAATATCACACGATCATAGCAAATAATACCACCCATACACAGAACTCCAAATGTCTCAAAATAAGAGTTAAAACACTGATCAACTGTGCTGAATATATGAAGTTTGAATAACCCCGACGAACACCGAAATCCACTGATAAGTTTAAAGTGTTAACAACACCCCATGAGAGTTCAATCTTCTCAAAATGTGTTGAATGCAAAAGAAACGGCGCCAAAAGTGCGCGATAACTGCAAACATTAGTTATTTTAAAGTTTTTAGGCGCTAACGTCAGGTAGAAATTAAGCGGAGGGGATAATGACACAGTGAAAATGAATAACCTTTAAAAATGCCAGATATACATATGTATGTATAGCTTTGTCACTACTAGTGAATTTTATTTGAACTTACTTTAGGTGGATTTGAATTGGCCGCTGAAATAAATTGCGCTACATACGTGATAATTGAACGTTCATCAGGTTTATCTACATCAACATCTAAAACAATAAAGTTTTAAACAATTACAAGTTAAATATCGTCGATAAGAAATTATTTATTTATTTATTATAGTAATAATTATAATAATAATATAGTAACAGTCAAATATAACCATATCCCAAGATGACAATTTTGTGGTTATAATTCTTTCAAGTTCCGAAGGAAACATAGGGCTCCAGCAGCACATTTCAATTTCATCATGTACACTGATGTCTAGCTAACTTCACGATTGTCAATACGCTCTCATCTCCTCCACCTAACACAAACTCTTCTATCTCACACTCGGACTAACACCTAATTCGTCGATTCGCATCCAGCTTCCAAATGAGGACCTGCCTGGCGCATGGTATCACTCGACGATCTCCTTAGCATATCTCCAATCCATATTGATTCTTTCTACGTATTAGTTTAGAGGGAAGTTCGTCTTTGGTTGGCTTTCAGTGTCCATTGTTGCTTACACTTCGTGATGGGTCGAAATGATCTTCAGTCAAGAGACAGCTGTTGATGAAAGTATGCAGAAGCCTGTTGGGAATACTATTCGTGATATGCGCCTCCCTCCCCATCCTAAATCTCTGAACCATACAAAAGAGACGAATCGATTGACACTGGTATCGAAGTTCCAAATCTTGTTCCTGATGCTGAGTGCAGCAGATTTCCAGACTGATTTCAGCGTTATAAAGGTCTTATAAAAAGAAAAGAGGTTCAGCGAATAGTTATTCTCTTAAGAGATATCATTCTCAAAGCGGTATATACCTGGTAAATTATCTTAACAACAAGAAATATTTCCAAAAATATGTCATTAAAATTATGAATTCTAGATACCAAATTACAGGATTTCATCATCAGCTAACATTTGTTCGAGAACCATTGGAAAACCTGAGAATACTGATGAAATCCTGTAACCAATCAATAAAATCCCTACAAACCAATACTTGAATATCTATAAGATGCTCACTGGTGACTGGCCGTATTCAGGTAGGTAGTTATCTGGGGCTCTAGTGGGAAGTCATAACCATTGGGGTACACAGCCCATCGGGTGTGAGGACAAATACTCGCCGATGACATTGGCTAGCGATCACGCTATGTCGTAAGTTGGAAGAAGTTAGAATTCATGAAATGACCATTGAATCAGGTCCCAGTGGCTTAATGACCTACGAGTTTGTTAGCCTTTTAACCAGAAGGTCGTGTGTTCGAATCGTGGTGGAGGGTGTGCACTGCTGAGGAGTCCTAAACTAGGACGAAACTGCTGTCCAGTACTCCGTGGTGATTTTCCAATAGTTCTCTAACCAATGTCAGCTCATGGTGAAATCCTGTAATCAGTCGATCAAATCCCAACAAACTAATACTTGAATAAAAACTTTTAATTGGGTTGGGGCTGATATGAAACTACATAAATAAGTTGAGTGTCGCAATATAATTGACGGGGTTGAGTAGAATTCTACTAAAATTGAACGGCAATTCACATGTTTTAAAACCTAAACTCTCCATACAAAAAATATATTTGTTCAGTCACTAAATCCTTAAATATTCCCATTTTTAATATTAAAACAAGACATATAAGCGAACAATATTGCTGCTGTTTTCAATTACATCTTCGGCCAAGTTAAACTTTAAGCACCACTAACCACCAATGGAGTGCGACTGCACCAGTGACCTTGAGACACTAACTGAGTAAGTTAGTGAAACCTGGCAGATAATCTTATCATCATTAATTAAACATGCTCATCGAAGTGTTAGATTATTAAATGGGATATCCAGGAAGTTCCAGCTTAGATTTGGGAAAGATCAAGTTACGGTTTAGGCCCAAGGACAAGTTAGGGTTAGGTTAACCTACTAAAGGTGACATTAAGGTTAGTTCTAGTTAGATTAGGGTTAGTTTAGGCATATTTTCACGTTAGGGCTAGTTTTAGGAAAGATTAAGCTTATCGTTAGGGTTAGAACACCTAAATAACCATATGCATAGAATGTGGTTGAATTTCTCTGTTGATTTAAGAATAGAACTTGTGAACTGTGATGGTGTTAGAGTATAATTCCATTGTGGGTAAAATTTATTTTGATAATGCCCCACAGTGTTATACAGTAGTAATATTTACTGATGACCATGTGTTTCGAGCACAATTTATTCCCCAGTAAATAATAATGTATAAAACTATCAAACTTTATCGAAATAAATTTTACCCACAATGGAATTATACTCTGTTGATACTCCAACCTAAAACTGGAAGCTATTTTTATCATATTTTAAAGCAGGGTATCCTCTACAACACAACATTTCTACAGTTTTTATGGATTATTTCATAAATATATGTTTTCCATGCAGAAAAATGCCTCCTTCACGTGAATGATGCGTTCGAGGTCATTCTCTGATTAGTCGTTGGTGGTGCTTAAAGTTTAACTTTGCCACATCTTCATCGGCTTTTACTCTAATTTACATAGATTTATATATAAAAATGTTTAGGCAATGACGGTGATTTTGTGGATCAAATAATAATTTGGTAAATGGTTTAAACGTAGTTAATAACGATGATTATAATGAAAACAAAATATTGGTAATAAGGTTCATGCAAGTGGCGTGAAGAATAACGCAGGTAGTAATATGTGTATATGTAGACGATTTAATAAATAAATAAATTAGGTAGAATCTTAAACGTTACGTAATACTAAAGGTGAGGCGGACAGATGAACAGAGTTTAAATACATATCATAAATTGTTGGTGTTAGATGGTTGGAGGCAATCGGCCACAGGAAGCCTTGCACCTAGGTTTCGTGCTAGTTGGCACTCAACAGTCAGCAAGGCGTATCTACAGCCTTGAAGGAACGTATGTCCCTTCTGAGATTCGAACCTGCGTCACCCAGTGAGTACTGCAGTCAGAGACGTTACCACTGAGTTATTCAGACTCGCGATAACCAATACAGTCCCACAGGAGGTCAATCGCGAGTCTGAATAGCTCAGTGGTAACGTCTCTGACTGCAGTACTCACTGGGTGACGCAGGTTCGAATCTCAGAAGGGACATACGTTCCTTCAAGGCTGTAGATACACCTTGCTGACTGTTGAGTGCCAACTAGCACGAAACCTAGGTGCAAGGCTTCCTGTGGCCGATTGCCTCCAACTATCTAATACCAACACAATTCACAGTGCGCTATAATGGCGAGCCACTTAGCATGATGGCCACATTGCAAGCTTGACTGATAGAATTCAGTCTGCAGTGAAGATAGGACTAGACATATTACACTAGTTACTGACTAGTATGCAATCAAAGATATCATAAAAATACGAAGAAGATGGAAAATAAGAAAGAGTGGGAGGGTTTGAATAGAATTCGTATAGGCCAAGGGAGAGTATAATCCTAGTCTTCGCATACAACAAAAGACGTTTGTTCTACCTTTGTCTCTCCCTTGTTTGCCTAGGTGAATTCTAATCAAAACCCTCCCACTCTTTGTTATTTTCCATCTCCTTCCTACTTTTATGATATTTTATCATTATACTTATCATAATACTTTGATAAAGCTATTAGCGGCATTAAATAGCGAAACGTCAGTAAAAACAATATCGTTTTGTTCTCATTCATTGGGAAATACAATGGTTCTCTAACTGATATCAATCCGTGATCAACTCGTAAAACATAACTAATCCTTACAAACCAAACTATAGAAATACAAAAACCTTCATCAAATAAAGTATAATTATATTTCAATAATTTACACACAATGATAAGTTTTGTTATTGGTAATATTTCGAGCAAAATTACTACCCGTGTTCACACCACTGTTGGAATTGTTTTGTTCACACATCTATGATTTGTACTCATATATATAGTTCTTTTTTTGTTCATTCATGTTTTTGTACTCAGAATTATATTCCAAGTTGTTGACAGTTGTAATGAGTCACCCTTGTTACATGTATCCGGTGTGACTTTAATGAATATCGATTCTGTTATGAGTTTTCTTTCCATTTGTTCATATTAGTTCATATTTAGAATACAAATATAGTTCCAATCGATATTGTGGTTTTTGTCCCAGGCATGTACAGCTATCCATAACAAAACTTATCATTGTGTATAAACTATTGAAATATAATTCACGGCTGAGGGAACTCTAAACTTTCTTGATTGTCTTGTAAAAGGACAAACTGACGAGAAACTAAAGTTTACCATATTCAGAAAGCCGACACATTCCAATAAGTATTTGAATTTCCAATCAGATCATCCAATAGGAATGAAAGTTTCAGTAGCTTTAAATCTCATTAACAGAGCTAGAAACATTATAACAGATAATGACGATATGGAGAACGAGATAACCAATATAAAACAGATTTTGATTGAAAATGGTTATCCTGAAAAGCTACTAGATAATATCATCAATAGAAAGGAGCATAAAGGAAAACAAAAAGTTGAAAATTCCTGGCTATCGACGATAGCCATTCCATATCGCAAAGACACAGCTGAACAACTTCAAAGACTATTTGCTGCATATAATATTAAAGTCTATGTCAAACCTTCTAATTCTCTGCAGAAAGCGTTGATGCATGTCAAGGATATAGTTCCCAAAATGTCACAAAGTAATTGTGTCTATAAGATAAAGTGTTCAGAATGTGATGCATGCAATACAGGTGAGAGCAGTAGGCAGGTGGAGGTCAGAGTGAATGAACATAGACTATACACGAAACGTCCACCTAGAAATGAAGTAGAATTAAAAAGTCTAGAAAAAAGATCGGCTATAGCAATACATGCGATAGACAGCGGACATAAGATTGATTTCGACAATGTCGAAATTCTTGGAAGAGGATTTCATTCACATAAAGAAAGATTGACTTCTGAAGCCTTCCACATTTTAACCATATCGAATGCAGTGAATAGGAAAGACGGGATAGACTTATCACCTATATGGCAAACTCTAATGAGGCAAGACAGATGAAAAAACTTAGTTGCAAATAAACGGTCGTAGTCTATAATGTCTGAATGGGGATTATCCATGAGATGAAAAAACAACAAACACTCT